TTTTGCCGTGTATCATCTGTCATTTCCCCCATTGATCGACTCCTGTACTGTTCAGTCATCAGCTCAAACACAAAACCATACGCTATTTGCTTAAAAGTCTCATGCAAATTTCAAATGGCAGATTGCAACTTTAGCACTTAGAGGAAACTGAGATGGGCTTTTTGATAAGGAAGGTAAGGCAAAATCTCATCAGAATCCTCTTGCCAGGCTAGAAAAAGCAGTCAATTGCATATCAACAACATGATACTAGGATGGTATAGGCTTTGTTGTATGTTGGAGTACAAGCCTTATGTAAAATAACTCAGAGGGTTCATTCTAGAGGCCCTGGAAACTTTTGAAGTGAAATACCTAAAAATTTGCTTACATGGCTGTAAAGATTTGGTGTCTGAAGTCAATTTTCGTGCATGGCTGGGTTATCCATTTTATTCTTGTTTTATTTGGATGAAAATTGGGTAGATTTATCATCATTTTACTATTTGGGCCTAGTGATCATCGTACTAAGTTGCCTCTGCGCCAGTCCAGAAGAGAGAGATATTGGGGGCATTGGTTTCCTCATCACGATTTTAGTGTAAAACAGATGACACACTTCCGTCATCATACAATCAGGTACCGTTAAGGTGTCATCTCTGAAGCTGTGCATACATCAGGCAAGCATATAAGCAAACATGAGCTCGGATGAGCTCTATCGGGCATGTGGTTGTGGCAATTTAGAGGCTTTATTTTTATATCTTTCCTGCTTGTCCAAGGGCTTCAACTGGCTTGGTGACTAGGAATTAGGTCACGGGTTCAAGTCGCGTTGGAGATGCCGAAAGACTCAACTCAAAATATAATTTCGGTGAGAAATCAGGCTTTGATTAGGAGCACCATTAAAGGTTCCCTTGCAAGAGCAGTAATACTACTTGATGTGGGTCGGTGCTATAAAAGTCCGGTCGAGCCTCGATTGCACAGGCTTCTGGGCGTCCTCATTCTGAAATTAGATGGAAATAAACAATGCAATGACGTGATGAAGAAATGCTACATTGAAACATTTCCCACTATCATATGATTAGGCCGCATGCTTCCACTAAATTTGACTTAACCATGCTTCAGAAAAGTTAAAATTTTACATTCGCGACGAGGTTGCTGCTGAGGCCGGTTTGGGCAGGGTCAAAGGCACAGTCCAGTTCACTTGAGCAAAGCTGAAAATACCTTTTTGGAAGCAAGGCTTTGTGAATCTCAAAGGAAACCTGTGGCTTACTCATGGCATGTGGGTGAAATTCAATTATTAGTCCTTCCTCACCGTGCGCGACTGAGACAGAATACAGTGTCGAAAGCTGCATACATCCAAAACAGGTAGCATCATCGACTGACGAAATATGCAAAGAAAAGTTGAGATGTATTCACCCAATTTCGTTTAAGGTGATGAAGGACTGGTAGAAGAAGAATTTTCCCACAATGATATAAGTTCAGCTGACGTTTTTTCCATTGAATTTCACATAGCCTTGCTTTCCCAAAAGTTGTTCTTATCCCGGTTGTGGTGGACTGCAGTTTCGACCTCGCATCGGTCTTATCAACACCCTCAGCGGGAGTCGAACCACGACAGTGCAGAATGGGAGTTTGACACGCTAACCACTCGGCTACACTGCCACGAGCACCTTTTGGTCACAGTGCAAATGTGAATTTTCAAGGAAAGCCAGGCCTTTTTTTTGCCATATCATATTCTTTTTGGTGGAATCGTCGATGAAGCAAACGTGTATCTGCTATAACAATCGACTAATATACATTATTTTTCGAATTAAGTATTGTTTTCGTGACTAACAGTAAATG